AACCTTGCATAGGCCCCTTGGGCCCGGTGCCCAAGGAAGTGTTGGATTCCTACCGACTAAAAACCCACCTGGTGCAACATTCACCCGCAAAGGGAGGAGGCAGGCGAAACACAYGATTAGTGCAATACAAATTGCCTGTATGCCTCTCCCTTAATAAGCTTGGCCGGTATTCGCGTAGCTTTCTACAATAATTACACGCACACATTCATACTTTGTCGCACTCAACAGTTTTAACTGAAGGCGTAATTTATTCACTCATACTTGGCCTGACCCTACAATTAATGGTGTTTTCGTCAGGCCCATTCCACTCTCATACCATATTTACAAAATATATACACTCCATTTATTTAAACTCCATTCATACAATGAGGGTGAAGAGACGCATAGCCGTCAGCCATTCGTCGCCCCAGTCACAAGAAGCCTCGCCCGAGGGGGCCGCCTAGAAGTCCGTCTCCTCTGCTGCCCCGCACGCAACCTTCACCCATTCATCCACTCTCTTTCTCTCTCCGCATTCTCCTTTTCACGCATGACGTATCCTGCAAAAGACTGGAATGCAGCCCACCCCCCCGGCACATCCAGGCATGCCCTAATTATGCCAGAAAGGGAGACATGCACCCMACCCAAGTCCCTGACAAGATCGTCCCGTTCATTCGTCCACGCAGGGCAGTCGATCAGGGTGTGGTCCGCATCGTCCACGTTTGCTCCGCAGTGAAAGCACTGCGGAGATGTCACCTTTCCAATCCTTTGTAGGTACGCAGGGAAACAGCTATGTCCGGTCATCAGCTGAGTGGTGTAAAAGGTCGTACCTATATAGTACGGCCTCTCAACCCACTCATCCAACCTATCGGCAATAGCTGCCCTTACCCGCGCACCCGTTTCTCCAATTATCCCTATTAGACCTAATTCCTCTTCCTTCCATGCGGCAATCGCCCCGATTCTAGCAAAAGCGCCCAGCGCCACCTTAATACCCGGAGGGACTAGATCCTCCGCGTCCCTAAGGGTCGCATACACCTCCGCCAGTCGGGGCGCAAGATGATCGAGGGGAATAATCCCTGCAACCATCATTACCGCATGGAATGACACCGTTCTATATGCACAGCACACCCTGWTCGCTACCYTCYTMTRAAACGATCRAATGGCCCGCTTGACTCGTAAGTCCTCTACAGCAGCGCGCTACCACACCGGTGCCCCTTAAATGAGCACCGATTGGATCACGCTGCTATAAAGGCGCCTCTTCTTCTCCCCCGGTCCGTGAAGGTTCGGAAGGAGCCTTCCAAGAGACCGAAGGATCCCCTCCGCCTTAGGGATCAAGGCCGTAAAGTGGGGCCTAAATGTGTAGTCGGAGTCTAGTATTACTCCTAGATATTTAACTCTATTCTCTATTTTAACCTGCGAACCCCTAATCCTAATTACAGGGGCTGGAGCATTCCTGCGTTTGCGGAGAGCAGAGACCGGGAAGGCCATTGC